TTTGATCTATATGGTCCACATTGGGGTTCAACGACCAGAGTGAACCACATCCTACCTGAGAACTGGTACCTAATATATCTGTCCATCAGCAACTAGAATGGACCATATTCTGATGGACACTTCCATCGAGATAACAAAGCTAAAAAAATCTCAACCTGTTGAGATAACATAGAGCTGACTGAATCACCTTCAGTCACACACAACTTCTTCAGGATTCTCCAACAGAAAACCTGCATGACGGAGTGGCTACAAACAAAGTCTGTTTAAGGAACAGTTTCAGTATCTCACTATTCTGTTTTGGAGTCCTTTGTAGGGCACACTGGTCCAATGCCTACTAAGAACTGATTCTGGATCATAATCATATCTGAGTGATCTGATCCACTGATCCGTTTCCATGACAGTCAGTAACTCAATGAACCTCACAGACCTCGACTTCCGCTTAAAAAAAAAAGTTCCATCTATTAGGTTTGAACCTTTTTTCTGACTAACAAAGACAAAGTACCAGAATAAAAATAAACCGTGCATCTTTTGGTCTCATTCCTCAGCTGATATCCTTTTCTTGGTGTTTAAATCAAGCCGAGCCCTCTGGTGGCCTAACCTCGTTTGGCCTCATCCACTTCACCCTCTGGCTCAAAGGAAAAAAAAGAAAGAAGAGACATTGCTTTAAATAACGACTCCATGGATTCCTTTCACCAACAGGACAGATCTCTGCCTAACAACTCCTCCTCCTCCTCCTGCTGCCAGGAGGAGGATGGAGCTGTGAAGGTAGCGTTTCATTGCTGCCTGTTCTGTCACTGCGGCCAAGGCACTGTTGGATCAGAGAAAGCTGAGGTCTCAGCATCCATCAGTTTCTCCTCAGGATTTTTCTCTTTGATTTTCGTACAAAAACAAGATTTTTCTGCAATTAGCCTTTAGTAGCTTGTGCGAGGAAATATTTTTACATTTAAAATTTCTAATTCACAGTTACAAAAATATGATAAGCTTTGAGGTCATTTGACTTTGTTTTGCAGATATATAAAATAAACATTTTCATATTCTCTCATTTTTACCAGTTTGGTGAAAGGCTTAATTTGTTTAAATTTAAGTGATTTCATGCCTTGCGTGACATTTCACCATAGGGTGGAACGATATGTAAAAATGATCAAGTCAAAACAAATAGCACTTTGTGTTTTTGTTTTCCTTTTTTGCCTGTTTAGTTTATACATATATATAATTACTGTCATCTTTTAAGATTAGATAACTGTTAAAAAATGTAACAAATACATTTCTTTCTTGTTTACACTGTCTTCAAATAGTAACATAGTAACATTTTCCAATTTGTTTTTGATCAAGGTTTACACTGTCTTCAAATAGTAAAAAAAAGTCATTTCTAACATTTTCCAATTTGTTTTTGATCAAAATAAATAAATCCGCTCCAAATGAAATACATCTCTAACAGCTGACTTCACCAGATCCAGCAGTGCTGCAGTTTAAACTACTTTCTTTTTTCATATCGCCCCACCCCAGCTGATATTTACTCGTGCAGAATAGTAGAGATGAACTGGTTATATAAGTTAATATATCAATGACTATAAACTGTACAGTGTGCTCACCATAAATGAGAAGCGGGTTTGTGTGTCCCAGCTTTTTCAGTTTCACATGATAATTCTTTACTATCTTTCAGTTGTCTCATTATTATTATCATCTTTTATTGCAGGTTATTGAAAATTAGAGAAGGAAGTTTTCTATCCATCCTTCTGTGTGCAGTCTCATTAGAAAAAAAGTGCTTCTCATTTTGCTGTGAACACACCGCCAGTGATAACGGTTCTAAATATTAAAAGTGTCTAACATCGAACACTAACCCTGGACTCTTCTAGGACTGGTTTTGGTCAACCATCATTTCAGTAGCTCCCCTGCCTTACGTCAGCATGGCAGCAGTGTTACTGTCTGTCAGGGTGAAGCCTCTGCAGTATTGCATAAGGACAACTGTTGCTGAAAACAGAGTTTATCTCTGAATCCCTCAGCCAGGATCAGCCCTAATCAAGAGTAATCATTTCGTCAACAGAGGATTTGTGCTGCAGGTTATCCTGGCCGGTGAAGACACAGGTCGTTCATCTGTCAGCAGTCCGTTTTATCAGGATCATTTTTAGATTTATTTGTTCATGTGCAATGTTTGACTGCAGATGAGACTGAAAAACTAGAACTCAGCAGCAGCACACATAGTCTAGCTGCAGGACTCTTAAGTTTGTTTGGCCCAAAATGCCAGGAGAATTATGCCATACATATAGATATATATATGCCTATATATTTATATATGTGTATGTATATATGTATGTATGTATGACTATATGTAGTAACACAGATAGATATCTTGAAGAGAACAACTCACTGCAGAAACTCCCACCAAGTATGAAAAGGTTCATATGAAAACAATTTTTCGGTTATGGAAAATGATCACAGAACCGAAATTCCTAAAAGTTCTAGACTTCCTGGTGGCTCTATCTGACAGAAGTCTTCTTTGGAGCAGAGCACCTGGTTCACAAGTACAAGATCTTTTTTTTTAAGGGAGAAGTTAAAAACAGTGAGTTCTTCTCTCGTTAGCAGGTAGGTCTGAGCTCATGGTGATGATGGTGACGATTCAACAGTTCCATCTGTTAAGTACAGACTGTCCAGATGCCAAAACACAGTTCAGGCTGCTGTGGAAAGTGTCTACTTTAAATTGGTTTTCACAACACTAACATGCCTACAAGCTCACACTCTAGGGGGTTCCTGCTACTACAGTTGCTGGTACTGTAAAAGCAGCGGAGAAAGGAGATGTATTGGTGTTGGTCTTATGACCATCTCTGTGGTCAGACCAGGGTGGTAAACATTTAGAGCAAACATCTCCATGTCATTAATCTACTCTCCTGACTGACATCTAGCAAATGGAATGGCTTTGGATTATAATAGAATCTCGAAGGGAGGACAGACTGGGTCAGCAGTGTCAGGTTGAGGTCACTAACAGGTCAAGTTGGTTGCTGGAAATGTCATTCAAATGTTTCCTGCTCTGGTAACTTGTAACTCAAATAGTGATTAAACCTCAAATTCCCCACTGCTGCCTCAAAGACACATGAAATCTGTTAAAGTTCCAGACAGTACCAGGGTTCCTGCACACAAGTTTCACTCCTTATCAGTCATTTTAGCTAGAGTTCAATTTTTTGTCACAGTTTATAATTCTAAATGTACTGCTGTGAAACCTGTGTAGGAACCTTGAAAACAACGTTAGTACCACTCACGATCACAGAGCAAATATTCAGGTAACTCTGTTCATCAGATACTGAAGCACACATCATACCCATTAGTACATGTGCTACTTATCTTCACCCAAACCCTAACCTCAATGGACCTTATTCTGCCCCCATTTCTCCTTGACCATATGTATCATAGGTGTAATGTCTTTTTCACAGTTGCAAAAACAAAAAGAAATGTTTAACCAAAAGGTGTTTTCTCATGGAGGTCAAGCAGCACTGTAACAAACAGAGTTCCTTAAGGGCACTACTGAATCATTAGATTCACTTCAGGAGTCCTAAAATAAAGAGCTGGGGTGGTGTACAGCGATGTGATTAATGGCATCATCCATCAGTTGTGTGCAGCCAACAGGCTGTCCAATGTTTACGGCTCGATGGCCAAAAGCTCCCCCTCTGCTGCAGCACAGTGCACAGACAAACCAACAGGTGGGCTGTGGATTGGGTGACAACAGAGGAGGAGCGATTCTTGAGAAAGCCCACCGGGGAGCTCACCAGAATCACACGGCACTCCAAGCCTGTCCAGAAATAGAGGCTTTCATTTGCCAACTGTGATAAACAGAAAGGCAGAAGCTGGAGCAGCCGCAGGCTGGAAATTCCCTGATTGTGAAAGTGTCATGGTCACAATCACTGGGGTTTTAGCCAATGGTTAGCCCTGTGTTTCAGACTGTTCAGCAGTTTTATATGGAATTACTCAGAGTGACACTATTCATTTACTAGGTTTGATAAAAAAATCCCCAAAATAAAACAATGAACTCATTGATCAAGGGTTAGTGACTGCTCATTTAGCAGCACTATGTGCGTCAAATGACCATCATGTGACAAGGTCATGTGGCCCCTGGTGGATGATGTCATCTTCTCCCCCACATTAGGAGACAGAAAATTAACTGAACAGTATAATTATCTATTGACCATTCAGTGGTGTTTGGATGATGGACCGTCCTTCCCTCCCTCCCTCCCTCTCTGGTCAGTTACTTGAAGATGGTGGTGGAACACATGGTCTCCATCATGGACCAAACAGGTCTGGCTGCTCCTGCAGTTCCAGCTGACGATTAAAAAGCTCAATCTCTTTGTTGGCCTCAGTGATGTATTGCTTCACAAACTCCTCCATGTCTGAGGGAACAGTGATGTACGGGAAACAGATACATAGATGTGATCAGACTGTGAGTAGAACATCAGTTTTCCAAGTTACGAGTAAGTAGTTACTGCAAGATTGTCCTCATGAGACGAGGATTTATCCAGTTACAAGTGCTCAACCGAGGACTGGCATCCAGTCAGTCGTACGGCATGGGGAAGCCGCGAGCTCTGATGCCAAAGCAGCTGCAGAGTTTGTCATTAATTTTAGTGTTTAATACACAAACAAACAAACAATATATAATATATATATATATAAATTATTATTTTATATTATCAATATATTTCTCATATCTTTTTTATATATCTATAGTTTCTGATGTTCAGATGGGGTTAATTTAATTTATTAATAGTATATTTCTGGGGGGCTGGAATGAATTAATTGGTTTTTAGTTATTTTTAATGGAGAAATTGCAATCGAGATACAAGCGGATCGACATATGAGTGCTGTTGTGGAACAGATAAAACTACGTTCCACTGTATTTGTCAAGCCACTGACTAATAACAAGAATTAAACCTTTTAATATAAGACATATAATTGTGTTTTGGTAAAAATCACTATCACTATGAAGAGGATACGAGGATGAAAGCAGCTTTTTTCTCCAAAAATGTCCATGTACTGAAAGCCGTTGTAGAAGTAGCCTGGTGGCAATGGCTCCAAACAGCGTTTCATCTGAACAGAAGCACGTTTAAAAAACACATTAGTCACTGAAAAGATCCACAGAAATGACTTTTTGAAAGTGAATGTAACTTTTGCAGTACTTTTCATATTGACAGCAGTTCCAGCCTCTTTCAAGCCTCAAGTCTTTTCAGCCTCTGCACATGTTAAAATGGCTAGCTCCTCATGATCTACCTGACCAACCTACATTACATCACAAAAGATGAGAGCAGCTGCCTTCAGGGGTTTGAATCTAGACTCTGGCTGAGCCAATCAGTGTCTTGTCCCGAGGCAGGCCCAGGGAAAAACACTCTGCTGTGTCTGTGATCAGTGTGGAGCTGATCTCTGGGCTAACAGCTGAATCACGTCTTCCCTCTGGTCTGAACACTTCTCCTCACTACCACCACCGAGAAACACTGTGATTCTGCCTCTGGTATCAGATGAAATGACCATGAGACACTGGTGTTCGTCAGGGGGCTGTATAGAAATGACACCACACCTCTGGTCTATCACTCAGGTATTTCTGCAGGTTCAGATTGGCCTCAGTGAGTGCCGTTGATAATCAGAATCAGGACCAAATCAATCAGGACTAAACAGATAAATGGTAACTACATGATCCATCAAGCTGTTTATGTGCTGAGTTTTATTAATGTCTAAATTATTTACCACCTCTCCACGTGTCTTCAAACAGACGACTGAGAAAGGTCAGTCCGTTTTAATAAACAGTTCAAGATTTATATCCACATGGCTGCATCTCACTTTACACCAGTAAATTCACTGCTAGTGTAACAGTGTGTGCATCTAACATAAAACCAAGTGTGTGGAGGTGCTCATGTGCATTCTTGTAACATAATACACTCAGACAAAACAGCTGCTGGTTCGTCAGGCCAAGACATCTACTTAACACAATTCTAAAATGCTTTTAATGCAGTTCAGCAAATTCCACCATAACTAAGGAGTAAATCAATTTTATATGTCTAATAGTGCACACTTACATGGATTGCCTTGATTTCCTGTGGTGAGAGAGTGTTTTTGGTCTTCTTAGGTTTCTTCATCTCTCTCTGTAAAATCAGAAACAGCCCTAAGGTCACACCACAGCTTTCTCTTCTGACTTTTGACTGATTTGACTCATGATTAAATGTCTGTCAGAGTGGGTTTCAATCTCATGTGTACCTGCTTGGTGCACAGCCTGACCCAGTCCTTTAGGCTGTCTTCTGTCAGAGCCACGCCATCAAAAACCAGGAAGCAGTTGCTGAGTCTGTGGTCACCGCTCTGATCTGGGATGATGCTCAGGCTGCCGCTCACCGTGTTGAAGCCCACCTCCATCCTGCGCTCTGAGTCTGACAGGTTCCAGAATAAACGTTCACATAAAGTTCTCACCACGTGTGACACCTTCTACAGCAGCTCCATATGTTAACAGTATGCTGGTGGTGAGGTGTAAATGCCTGAGCATCCATATGGTCCACACTCCCACGCTCTCACAATGATTTAGAACTCACGTGAGCGACAAAACAAGATTTGAAACATGTCAAATATGATCTGAGCACGTGTCTGATGTTTTCTACAGTAAAACTATAAGAGTGAGTGAATTTAAAGTGATGATAACCTAAAGACAACAACAGCAACAAAAACAGGTGAATTTCTGTTTCTAGAATGATCTTTTCCACTAGTACCAGGAACTTGGTATGTAAACAAAAACTAAAAATTGTACGTGTGCTTCTATTACAAAGAACAAGAATTAAACTGAATGACTCATTTTTGGAGCTCCATAATTCTTGCAGTTGCAGACTTTTTAAACAGTAATTTTTAAATGACAAGTGGCCCCTGTTCTAAAAGAGGCACCCGATACTCCAGATGTCTGGGGACCATCAGGTAACAAAGGTCTGCCTGTTGAAACACCAACCAATCATTTAACAAATCAGTCAAGTAATTAATTATTATATCTTCTACTAGTCTCTTACTAACTATCCGGTTGGTTCCTGGTACAGTGAAACAGAGTTCAGGAAACCAAACAAGTGAACTTTGAACTCATAGCTACCACAGACAGCAGACTGACGATTAACAGCTTTCCTACCGTGACCAGCTTCGTTTCTGCCTTGAGGGCAGCTTTTTCTAAAATATTCCCAAAAGTAGGGAATTGAAATACAGTTCAAACACTTCAAAGAAATGTGTAACAGTTTTCTCTCAATAGGTAATTGTATGTTATTGAAGTCTCTGAAATACAAATGTTACAAAAATTAACATGAGCTTCTATGAAAATACGCAGATTACCAGAGAATCGGACTTTTCCCCAAATATTGTACATGTTTCCGTGGAAAGGGCTTGGTGCTAGTGATGACTTGATGGCTACAAAAAGAAAAAAAACATCATTGTACACAAATCGTATTAAAAATCAGTATTGATTTTATTTTATAAGTTTCTCTTTCCAGTTGAAAAACAACATCATGTTTTCCATTGCAAGGGTTTGTGTTAGTGCTTAAATTTTCATTAGTCATCCAATTCTTTTATACTTCTATAAGCCCCCTAAAAAAACTGTCTTACTAAATATTGTACATATTAGATAAAGTAAAATATGTAAAATAAGTCTTTACACATAAATTACTCAACATAAAGAAAGACTATTTTGTCAATGGTAATGAGTAAAGAACAATTTTTAAAACTTTTAAAACACATTTTATGCCAATCAGAACCTTTTAGAAGTCTTTAAGGAACCGCAGAATTAATCGAGTACTTCCACCGTTTCCAGTGAAACTGTTTGGCAAACACACATTCTTTCACAGCAATAGCTGAAAAATCACTTGAGACTTCAGTAATCTCCATAATTGGAGGGAAAGCAGCTTATATAATTACTGGCAAAATCTGCTGGATCATATCTGGAATCTCTATCATGTTGAGAACAAAAAAGAAAACCCTCCCTCACCTTTGCAGCGAGTCACAAACAGATCCCTCTCCAGTGGACGGTTAAAAGCCAGGTGATGCTGGTTGAGGACCAGAGACCCTGAACCAGAGAGAAAACGTCCTTTGCACCTGAAACACAGAAGACCATAACTCCATTAGACAAACAGTGTCAAAAATAAGTCGTGGACGAGCCAAGTGTTTGTGCTACATTTCTCTCTGGCTGAGATTTGTTTACTGCACCAACTGCTCAGAGGAAAGCAGCCAGTGAAAGGAGTTTGTTTAGTTATAACTGAGGAAGTGATGGACGACTTTGTCAGTGGAATCTTAACAAGTTAGTCTGGGATTACGAGTTAAGAAAGCTCTCAGAGTAGACGGGAATTGAGAGGTGGAAAAAAGGTGAATCAACAGACTCTATCAACAGATACCCAGAGTATAATCTGTGTGTTTGTGGATGTGGGGGGCAGAGGTTCATATTAGGCTGACCACTGAGGCATGAAGGCCCAAATGGACCAGATCCAAGGAGACCCCGTGTGTGTACATGGCAACTGCACGGCCAACAGCTTGTTACTGAGCAGCCAGCAAGCTGCTAGTGAAAGAACACAAGATTCCCTAAGGGGCTTTACGGCAATCAGTGGCCGATACCCTGTTGCTGCCACCGAGTGGCTGTTAAGCACCAGGGGGAAACAGAGAAGGCAGCTCTGAGGATTGAGGATCGCTGACTCAGGAATCAATGTCAAGCAGCGGCTGACGGAGGAAAAAAGGACATGCAGGGGTCGCAGGCAAAAAACATGAGGACATATATACACATACAGTGTAGACATATATGTGTATATACATATCAGTCAGATATGCATTGTCCAAGGATAGCTTGCTTGGGCACTCAATCGCTCACTCAATGTTCAGGACTATGCGCAGGGTTTTTGCCAGTAAACTGGAAATAGAAGTGACGTTGATTTGTTACGTGTGACGCCACATCGTGAGTGACTATAAAGCAGTGTTCCATGAGATTATAACAACAGGGGAAAACAGGACATATGCTGTCCCCTACGAGACAAAATCATTATGATAAAAAAAACCTGGATGTGCCAGCCAAAACAGGACAGTTGGCAAACCTAGCTGCACATGTGCTGGTCGCCATAGTGTTACCATCATCTCAGTATGTTACGTATCATGTGTTTCCCTTGGTCACCATGACAAAAAAAAGAAGAAAGTTCATTAGACATTTTAAAATTTCCTCAATATTATTATGCCAAACAAAGAAAACATAATGAGTGTTCACGAGTCCCAAAATCAGAGTTTGAGGCACGGGTCCAAGTCAAGTCTGAAGTCTCTGTGTGTGCCAGTACAACTCTATGACAATTTTCTTTCACACAGTTTTTACATATTTCTGGCAGGATGTGAATAATACCTTTTCATAATTTTCTCCACCTTCATCATTTGAACTAGTCACAAATAAAAACAGATGTGAAGCTCATAGATCAACCTGCTGTTATTTGGGTTTATGTTCTAGCAATATACATGAAAACAGGTTTTGTCATATTTGTGATAAATAAACTGATCCAAAATTTAACCAATGGACCTTAATCATACAGGGCTATATGCCGTATATGTATTAAGTATATATATTAAATATTGGAGCCACTTTTTTTTTTACTGACAACATCAGAACATCTTGACCCAGTCTACAATTATTAGGGAATGACACATGAGCGGATGAACAGGAAGGTATGTCTTCATAGAAGCAGAATCTTACCATCCAGGATAAAGGACATAACGTGCCCTAAGCATCTGTGGCTCACTGAAGTTGCTGGCGGACAATATCAGATTAACATCTTCACTCCTGACAAAGACAAGAACAGTTCAGGTTAGAATGAGTTTAAATGACCCACACTCCACCATTTATTATTCAAAATGTGTTTTTATTTATTTTTTTAATTTGATCTATTGATGTAAAATGTATTTTAAGAATGAGCCTTATTGCCAGTTTGTACATATACACACAACCAAATTTGACCTCCACAATTTTTGGTGCCTGCTCAACACATCACAGCAAGGGTGGGATTAGAGCCCAGACCCCACCCACACAAAGAGGACAGACCTTAATCCAAACAGGTCCGCTGTGAAGAATAGCTACTCAGACACAACTACATTTTACTATTCCTGCTTTCTGTTGTTTAAAAGTTCATCAAGTCCTGAGTGATCAGGAATTGTCCAAGCAGATCTGTTTATGTCCATGATCTACAGCTGTCTAATACAACACCTTATATTTAGCTTTACCTAAAGTGGATTAGTTCTTACAACGTGAAGTCAGTGTGTAATGTTAAATAGAAATATCTCGGTCCTAACACAGCTCCCTGAGCCACGTGTTCCATTACAGGTAAAGGAGTTGCAGCGGACTCCTACCTGGTGACAGCTCCTCTCTCTGCCTGTACAAAGGCAGCAGTGGGGTTGGCAGAGCGTACCAGCTGCTGAACATGCTGCATGAGAGGGTTCTTCAGCTCTGCTGCCAGGCCAGTGAACACCACTGTAGTCACAAGACCTGACAGACACACAACAGGGAACCGTGGGTGGGTGAAGAACATGGACTTCAGGAGAAAATGTTACAGTTATTTTGTTCCTAAAAGAATAGTGTCAGAGTAGCAGCCATTGCAGGAAAAAAAAATCATATTTCAGATGGCATGGTTTTTTTTTGTTCAACTTGAGTTCCTTTGTTTGAATAAGGTTTTAGAGAATGTGCCGCAATCCTGACAAAACAGAAATAATACACTGTAGCAGAAAGGAAATGTTAAAACTCAAACAGAACAGTTTTGATTAAGAGTGAGCTCTCATTACTTCATTTTTGTAATTATGTTTTGTAGGAGCAATTTTCATTGACCAACATGTTGTTGTAGTGGTTGAATGGTTAAATCTGCATCTCTGTAAATAAAACTCTCACCTTGGCTGCACTGTTCCAACATCTTGGGGAAAGTAAACCTAAAATGAGATGGAAAATCAAAAACAGGCCACATGAAAATTAAAATGTAACGATCACTCACAGGAAAAAAAGGGGGAAATAAAGTGGTTTCTGCTTCTACACAGTCAGACTGTTTGCAGTCTGTTTGGTTAAAACGTTTAAATTTTCTTTAGCACTTTCATTGCAGAAACTGGTAAAAAGGACAGTACCAGGTACTCTGTGTCCTCCACTGCAGGGATGAGGAACAACAAAGGTTCCTCTGAACTGTTCCTCAGATTCTAAAAACAGTGACTTCTAATTTCAGTTAATTATTTACTGAAATTAAAACTTTGATTCTCCAGCTTCCCACAGCTCACCAAGTGAATCCAAAAGAATACATTTCAATCTCCCATTCTATTCTTCATTATCATAACTAACAACAACTTTATTAATGACTAATGGCTGTCTGCCAAAGACTTACAGCCATAAACAGTCTAATATTATGTTCTGGTCCTGGCCTAATGAGACTGACATTATTTATGGGTTGTTTTTCAGAGAAGACGTCCCGACTGTAACTGGCACCTTACTAAGGTAAAAGCTTTCTGTAATCTAATTTATTCCAAACATAATTTATCCCGAGGTTTTAAATCCATCAGTGCTACACTGCGCGGGTCAAGTTTTCTTTCTCCTTCAGACGTATGATGGTACTTTCCCTGCAGCTGAGAGGATGGTGGAATGGCTGCAGGAGGAAGATGACGAAGAGGAGGAGGAGGAGCCTTTTATAAGACATTCATCTTTCTTGTCCTGATATAATAAAGTGTCTGCATCTATAAAAAAGAATGGATGTGGGCTGACTGATGAGGAAGACCCTGACGTCTGAGGATTACAGGGTTGCGTGGGGGGGAGTCACATCTGAGCTGATTTTACCATAACACCCAATTAGTGCTAGACGGGTCAGTGAAGATCCCTGCAGAGGAAGAGTCAGAGATCAGCTACAGTTGACCAATTAAAATGAACTATTACTGCACATTTTCTCCAGCTCACAAACAGCCTCGTGATTTGTTATCAAAAACAAACGTGCAGGGAAAACATATGAGAGACCTCCTGCTTTAATATTTATACAGGCATGCTACATAATCATTTTATTTATTAAATATGATAAATGAGAGGTACCGCAGTGTTTAAAGGCACTCTCAAATTTATTTCACATTCCTTCTGCCAACCGGGCCTTCTGCAATAAGTTTTTCTTATCTTCTTGCTGAAATTGGAACTAATACAAAATCACATGTTCGCAGCCCGAGCTCTGCAAAAAAAAAAAAAAAATAGAAACCTTAGGAATTTAAATTCTGATTTTGTTGTGGAAGAATGCCTTTGAAACTTACACTGTCAGCCATGGACACTGGGCTTTGAAACAACTTACACTGTCAGCCATGGACACTGGTGAACCAACCTCTAAACAAAATGCTCTTCAGCAAAAATGTTTTTCTCCAAACGTTCCTTTTCTTATCAGATTCCTTACACTGAGGAGGTTTCCTCTGTGTTTATGAATCTGCATATTCTCAAAATGTGAGATCACACAGAGTAGCAAACACCAACTGCCTGCTTCTTATCTGTCGGAGTGAACTTGTTTCATAACTAGATAACTTCACATTTATAATATTTGTATATTTATATTCATACATGTTTAATTTTTTTTTACCAGAATAACAGGCTGTTTGCATGTCCCTCTCATGAATTCAGGCGATGGTGGTACTATCAGTGTAACAAAGGTGAACTTCTGAGGGGGAATGGTATTTCTGTTCAATTAGAGCGGTTGATGACAGACAAGGTCGGATGTTGATAAAGTGCAGAAGCTGTAGATGTTTCCAGGACGAGGTTACATGAGATTTTCCAGCTATTAAAACTCAAGGCTGCTCTCTTTCACGGTGAGGATCAGCTACATATTCAATCGGACTCTGTCTTTGTTACAGGCTTTAGAGGCAGCTTACTGAGATTCTCAGCTCGCTGCCACAGAGCGGCTGAACTGCTCCTCACAGCCACTATCACATACCACTGCAGTTAACAGGCTGTTTTCCAGTGCTGCAGCAGTGATATAAACAAACTTAATAAATATAATCAGCAGGGACTGAAGGGAAAGTGTCCTTCAAACATCTAATTCTCATAACAGGGACAAAGAAAAAAACCCAGTAAAGCTTGTGAGGTTAGGTAAAAACAGCTGAAGACAGATAATCAAAATTAAAACTACATCATTTTAATAAAATTGCTTCTAAATAGCATCAAAACCTAAGAATAATTCAGAACATTGCACCAGTAGCAGCATAGAGCAGTAGATTGCAAAAAAGTGCAGATGTCAAGAAAAATGTCACCTGTGCTCCAAGCAAGAAGCCAGTGGCTCCACACAGGCAGTGACAGCACCAATGGTGAAACCTGCTCGGATAACTGGGTCAGGATGGAGGAGCAAAGCCTTGACGATATCCAGAACATCGGTGTATCTGAAGAAGAAGGAACTTTTTGAGTTCTCTCAGAAAGCACAGATGCAAGAATGTAAATTTCTGTGGTATGATGAAAAAAAAATGTTGAAGTTCAACTCTGCTCTTCTGGGAAACTTCTGAGCAGCACTAGCAGCTGCTCAGCAGGTGGTCTTACCCAGGTGAGAGCACCAACAGACGGGGTTTCCCTCCTGGGCCTCTCTGGCTCTGCAGGAGGCTGGATAAATACCGCTGGAGGTGAGAGGCTGAGAAGCTGTCAGGTTTGTACACCACCCACCTACAGATCACATGAAGATGGGTACCAATGAAGTATTTCTTATGGTGCTTTTATTCTACAACTAGTACAGGAAGTGTGTCATCAGTTGAATTCACTCCTACCGTCCATGATCCTTGTTCAGCTGGACCAGGAAGTCGCAGAGTCTCTCTTTGTGGCTGCCCGGCAGTCCAGTGATGACGGTGACGATGACCTGTGGTCCACACATTCAGAAGCCACTTTATCAGTACAGTCCATTGTATATACTCAACTTCACTTCAACGTCACTTTTCCAAGAGCATGATCCAGAAGTGCTGACCTTCTCTCCCTGTCCACCCACTGTGTTCTTCATCTCTGCAGAAGGGAACAGTGCTCCCAGGTGCTCACTTAGAATGGGCTCCTGACTGATGCTGCTCAGGGCAAAGTGCTGCAGAAACCTGGGAAAGAGCAGTGAAGTGCACAACACCTGAGTGATAATCATCATGCTTCATTCCACAGGACCATTTACATTGGTTGTGGGGGTGCAGTAGAAATTAAAATCATACTTTATCTCTGGTGGAGCAGAGCCATCAGAAATTTGACTGCTGCTGTGCAGAAGCTCAGGATGTGATGTTAATTTTGGAACCTAACAGTTGGGTGTCTAATTATACCTTTGGCAGATTTAGGATTGAATTAGAAGGACTAAGAAGCTGTCAGGGGGTGCTGAGATACTCTTACACACTGTTCTCATTGTTTAAGCTTCACTGATTAGAAACAAACTGTTTATTTTGGGCTAAATCTCAAAACTAAATTAACAGAGATCATTTTTCCTCCCAGCAGGAAAGAGCTTTCGAGTGTCAGGAGTGATGAAAACAGCGTATCAAGAGAGAGTGGCCTGGATACTATTTTAGGAACACATACTCATGATTAAGCAATACCCATGGTGGCATCAGGTTTTATTAACACTATCTCCTCACATCTCCACTATGTGTGTACTAACATGTCCTGTTCTGGCAGCTGGGAGTAGGAAGACTTCAGGTGTCCTCTACGTTTGGCCACTGGAGGCTCCTGGCTGTGGTGCAGCTTCTGTAGCCTGGTGTACCTGCAAGAAATACGTTGACTACATTCAGCAACATCTAGTTGTTAATGAAAAATAACAACGTAGACAGATGGACAGAGGGAAATGACAGATGCTGGGGTGTTTTGTTGGAAACAAAAAAAAAGAAAAGATTCAGTAGTTTGAAGAAACAAGTTTGAGATGGTTAAAATGTGAGAAGCCAGAAAAGAATCATGAATACATTGAAGGAGATGGATGATGAGAAGGTTGGTGAAACAATAGTTGAAAAGGCAGAAGGAGTACAGGGAGGAGGAATAATAAAAAAGAGAAAAAAATAAGAAGGAGGTGGAAAAAAAAGACAAAGTTTTACTCACATGCCTTGCTGGATCCCAGTCATCTTCTCTTGGTCCAGCAGCTGCAGGATGAGTCCAGATTCTTCCGACTTTTGCCAAACTGACAAAACCTGGGCCAAGAGGCAACATTTCATTCGAATAAAGATAAAGATGTGATGTTCACGAGTATTTATGAAAGTCAGATCATTTCAGAATTTACTCATCATTAAAAAACCATAAAAACAAGGCCCAGATCTTAATCCAAAAACATCCCTGATGAAACACTTTGACTTGATCATGTTAAGCAACATGTTTTTTTATTTACTGTATTGCAACAATACACACACACACACACACACACACGAGTGACAGAAATAGGATGTATTTAAAGCTTTAATATCTAGTTTATGGTTAGCATTAACATATTGCTGAGTTCTCAAAACATGCAGTAACTCTGAAGGTTCTGACCTTGGTGTAGAAGCTCCTGTGACCTTTGGACCTTGGCTGAAGGGCAAAGACCAGGCACTGGTCTGAGCTGTGGAGAGGAAATGGGAGGTGGGGCAGAAAAGTGCTGTGGTACTCCACAAAGAGTGAGGCCACAGAGCAGGAGTCCTGGTCACAGACAAGGACACAGGCGATATTCAACAAATGGTTGTTATTTGTCAGTACAAATAATAGGTTAGTTGTACATTAAGGTTTTTTGCATGTATATTTTAGATCTTCAGCTGTACTTTGGACTTATATTTAGCTAATAATTATTCATATTTCAGGCTCCATTTATTACTGACTAAAATGGCTCAAATATCTTTCTGGTTATCAAAACTATATTGGTTAATGTTTACAATCGTTATCATTGTCAAAGTTAAAGTCAATAACTTGAGTGCTCTGAAAAAAAACAAAACACAGAAGACAAAGAAACACACCGGGTCATAGAGCTTGATGTTCTTAATGTGATCCTTTGAGAGAGTGATGCTTCCGTGTTGAGAATGAAGAAACATGAGTCCCTCAGAGAAGAACATTATCTTCCCTAGAAAAACAAGAGAAATACATTCTTGAAACAATTCAGACTCCCCAGAGCGATATCAAGTGATGTGACTGTGTTACCTTCTTCAGGAGTTGACAGCTGACTTCTGGAGAACACATAGGCTACATCTGCTCCAGTCAGGGCCGATCCCAAACAGCAGTCTTCCTCGTTCTGTTTAGAACCAATGCTCAAGGTCATTGTTGTATTTTAAAGATGTACAACAGACATGTCACATATAACATATATACAGATCCAGTTCATCCTGGGACTTGTACCTTGATGACATGCTGAGCTCGCTCTGACTGCTTCACATCAGACTCCATCTTAAAATGATGCAGAAACACATTTAGCATCAGCATCAGTCAGTACTGCATATTTTATGTATCACACACACAGTATGTTCAGCTATCAACATACCATCCAGCAGGCATAGCGGGGCACAGAGGTGGTCAGGATAGTGTAGCAGCTGTCTGAGGACACAGTGCCATCTGCAGGACAAAAAAAACATATTATTATGACAGGCAGCATCAACCACAGGATGACAGACAGCAATAATGTGATCCTATGGGTCAGAACATCGTTCTTCAATCCACAGTAATATACAACATTTGTTCTGATGCAACACTAAAACCTTACTAACTGTGTGGAACCATTCACTGGTCCATTTTATGTCAACTTTCATTTGTTCCATTTTATTTAACCTTTTTGTTGAATGTTGATACTTGACTCCAAGAAGGACTCAGAGAAGACAACAGAGCCCAGATGCTCAGAGTCTGTCTGCAGTTTAGGGATGTCCACAATAGTCATGGATGCCTGAATAAAACAGTTGGTCAGAAAAACAAAATCTTAAAAATCTTATGCTTTATATTTGAAATGATAAAAGATAAGAAGAAATACTGTTCTAACACTTAACTGTTTTAACTGCATAACGACTTTCTTCATCCGTTAAAGGAATAATCCTATAAAAATAAAAATGTCAGCTTTTGTGGTCATTAAGAGTCAGGTAACAATCAAACAGTCTCCAGCTGCTGCTGCTGCTGTAAAGGCCTGAAGGACACTTTCATTTAATAATACTTACAAAATACTGTAAATGACACAAACACAAACATACCTGCCCTGCTTGTTAACAGCCTGGATGTGGAATTTACATTTGGACCTTAAGAGGAGAAAACAACCGTAGTCAGAGAGATTTAAACAGTACGTCTCATTTCCTGATTGACTAAAAGTTTCCTACAGTTAAAATCCATCAGTACCTGAGAACACTGCGATACTGACTTAAATTCATGGCGTCCAAAGCCATGAAGAAGGTGTTCTCAGCCACATCCTTAGCCTGTAAGAACAAATGTTCATTAAAAACTGACTCCAAACTGAGAGACAATGAAAAAGGATGAAATTAAGAGTCTGTGTTTCTGACCTTAGGAACACTGGACGTGCAGGAGTAGCATTCTATTCCAGAAAGAACTGACTGGATAGAAGCTGAATAAACCTGGGACAAGAGTCTGAGGACAAGAAAAATCAGTTGCTTTGATTGAAACATTATTCTTCACAAACATTATCAACTAAATCTAAATATGAACCACGTACAATGCCTCAGTCCTTCTCTGCTCTGTCTTTTGATTTCCTGTGAAAGAAAAAAAAGGGAAAGTACTTTCCAAACATCTTTCTGGTAAAATTCAACATTTTTGAAACATTCAAGCTTCATAGTCTCAAATATATGTAAGGTAAAACAGTTAAAACACATTAGACTGAAGACCTTTCAGTGAAGCCAGGATAGAGTTCTCACCAAGGTAAGGAGAATGGGTGGTTCCAAAGAAATACGTTCTAGAGCAGGACAGAGGTCCTTTAGGAGCCACACACTGAAGAATCTAAGAGGAAAACATCAGGATACTCTGTTTGACTTTATGCATCATGAAGTCAGGCTCATGTTCCAGTCACACACCATTGAGCACACAGATCAATGGTCACATAATTCCTGGAAGGGTAGGTTTAATGATAAACTTTGCTAATGTGGTACTGTATATGACCCTACATTTCACCCAGTGCCTGGGTGGATTAACTGGGTGGTGCAGGTTGAACACAAATATCAACCTACCATTTGCGTGGCTGCAGATCCATGACATCCTGTGTTTCTGACCTGATGACTCTCTGATGGAAAGCTGAAGGAATAGTTCTCCAAATCTTCTGATGAGGAATGTTTTCCAAACAGCACAAACGGCTGCAGATTTTTACTGAAAAAGGAAGCAAGGAGGAAGGAAGTGAAGTCCCTGTTAAATTTCAACAATGGATGAGCAATATGGTCAACATAAAAAAGATACTGATACCTTTTATCTGTAATGTTGCTGGAGATCAGTCCATGACAGTAATATGTACGGAAAGCCTGTAAGTGTATAAAAGAAACAAAGAAATTACAGAAACCTTTTAAAACGCTGTTTGGCCTGAATTAGTCGTATACATTAAGTTGTCGTGGAACCATGTGTGTTAGAACTGACCTCTCCTGCCTGAGCTTCAGATAGTTCCAGGATAGAAAGGTGACTCTCCAGGTCCATGCTGGAGAAAAAGTGACTCCATTGTTTTTCAAAACTTATCAGGTCCTGGAATACAAGACCATCAAAGTTTGATCATTAAAGAAGGTTAGAAGAAATAAAATAAAAACCTCTGCCCAAACAGTAAAGTCCAAATACTTGAGTTACAAATATTAATAAAACGTTTTTAATGCTAACGTATATCAAACCAACCAAACTACAACGTTACCTCAGCCAACAGACTGTCCAGAGACACTGGGTCCAGTCTATTGTAAATCTGCCACAGTTTTTCACTAATGTCCATCAACTGAAAGATTAAAGATCATTTTTAATATAAAAAACACACAATTACAAACACAAAACTACAAGTAACATCTTAATCAAACTAAATTGTATTCCCATTTAAAACTGACCTTGTATTTTAGTGTAAAGAAGCTTCCTCCACCAATGCCTTCCAGGGCAAAGGCCTGGATCAGAGGCCATTTCTCCACCATGAACATGTCAAATTTTTGGATATGTCCTGAAAAAAATAGGAAAGCGAGTCCAGACCAGCTAACAAGTCAGATACAATCACAATACATATAGTGTTAATTTGTTTGTACCTTGGGCACTGTAAGGAACGCCAATGTTGTAACAGTCCTGCACCATTGACACAAAACTGGAGATTTTAAATTCCTCTGCTGCTTCTTCATCTTCATACTGTGCGTGGATGAAGGAAAATAGAAAATAATATTATCCTAAAAAAGGAGCTGTCATCAGGAAAAATTATTTTATATAAAACAATGAACTGCTACAATGGGACTTTTGAAAAAGCCCTTCTAGATCAAACTTAGACAGTAGAGGAGAAGGAGGAGGTCCTGCTCACCTCTGCTTCTGTCATGCAGTACAGATGCAGGTTCCTCCAATGTGAGACATAGGGCAGCAGGTAAGTGTAGTTGAGTGGGTTGCAGTACAGATGAACACAGTCAGCCTTGATCAGCAGGATAACATCTGTAAAATCATAAAATAAAAACGTTCTGAAAGTCATAGTAGAGGGAAAGATTAAAGCCAAAATCTCAGGAATAGCACAGTAAATTACCGTCCAGCATTTCTTCAGGGAATTCATCAAGACTGTGTTCCAGAGTCACAGGATTCTGTCCATACAGTCCATAGAACAGGTACTTGGCCAGTTCCGTGCAGCCGACATTGTATCTGCTCTCAATGCCTGAAAAAGAAAAGCATATTTTTTTATGCAACTCCTTTTCGTTCATGTTTGGTGGGAACAACGTCTCCATTGGTTTTGAGGGTAGACATACCAAGAGAGCAGAGGATGCCATCAGGAGTTGTAGCTCCAGGTTCACAGAGCAGAGACTGGACCTGACGGAGACGACAGCAGCTGAAAAACACAGGGAAACTTACATTACAACTTCATACACTTAAGATACGCATTTTTGCTGAAAGGAAAACTAATAAATTTAAAACTTTGCTGCAACATTAATTATACAGTGGTACATTTTTACTTATTTTTTAAAAAGGCAAGAATATTTTGCTTGTTCTTGTGGAGCTGTTTTGCAGTGTTAAGACCTCAGACGAACTTGTTAAATACTGATTTTCAATGATAAAGGCTTTATTGGCAAGATGATGTTGTTTTTTTGTAAACACTACACATCATTCTCTGTGCAGTGTCAGCTAGAGTGAAGGCATGGGAAAAACCTTTACTCTGAAGCTGACCTTAACAAAACGTCTAAATGAGAAAGATGAATCACAATGAAGAAGGAAACAGCCAACAAACAGAAACTTTTTATAAATAACACTCGAGGTTTTTTTTTAAAAAAAAAAAGCTTATTGAATTCAGTAAAGTGAAAACTTCCATATGTATGTTCGACTTATTCTTTATGACATAGTTTTTATGCTTTTGTTCAGGCCATTTTTTAATCGCCATATATTAAATATGTAACGATAAATACGAGCTGGAGACCTCAGGTGTGCAGTGTGCACTTTTTATTTTTAATATTGTTGTGACCCGTGTAACAATCGTTGCTATGACATTGTCTAAACCATTCATATACTCAGGCCTAATGTCAATCTATTGTTAAATAAAATAAACTTGTATTCGTACATTAGCTCTGGTTTTATCAAGATCCCGGCGTCGCGTTATATTTACTCGGCCAAAGTACATCAACTTTAATTAGTCTGCAAAATAATTACGTTATAGCTAATATTACACTGCCAGTTATAACCGTTTGTTGTTACATATGAAAGGGTAATTAGAATTTCTGACATGAAAATCTGAAATTCAATTAATTAAAAAGTCATCTTTTAACGCTCACATTTGATTTTCAGGAATAAAACTATCGTTCAGCTAACGCTAACATTAGTTATGGCCACGTATATCTACTACCTTATTATTATTTTAGAGTTATTACTGTTCACTGGCCCTTATCTTTATAGAATCAATGTCAATGTGTCTCGTCGGGTAATTAGAACACTGTTGTTGTAGCATTGCAAAATAAACGGCTGCAGCCGTTGATGCTAATGTTAGCTTGTTAGCTTGGGTAAACAGTTTGATTTTACCTGACGGCCGGATTCACTCCTGACACTTTTCCGTTTACTGTCCTTATACCGGACATTTTCACGACTGTTGTGGTTCTTAATTACGACAGCTGAGTGAATGTTTCTTTCAACGTTTTGAGTCAGAAGTGACTAAATCATCTTCGCCTCCATCACCCTGGAGAAACATCTACACACACAACAACAGCACAGCAACGGACCAAACCATTACAGCCAAACAGGGGTGGGATGGTGTTCTGGTTAGACTCCAGGCCAGTCATAACAGTAAAACCGAGTGTTTGTGAATTTATTCAGACTTCTATAATTCTCATTTTTCGTAGAAAAATGTGAATGAACATAATCAAACAGATATAAAAACTTTACGTTCTTAAATTCTCCAGATATAACCCCGAGCTGCTTGTATTCTGGTCCGTACTGACAGCAGCAGCAGCCACAGCTGTAGCAGTGATGGTGCAATCCCTCAGTAATCGTTCACTGTGGGGAGAAATTCTACATCAGCTCGAACTGTGGAAGTGAGCTGCTTTTTTTGAAGATTCTGGTCGAGTACACAATTATTCCAGTTTAATTGAATAGTTGTTTGTCGTGAGCCAACCCTGTAACATTGTTAATTATTGTATCAGCCACATTATACAAATGTTATTATTATTATTATTATTATTATTATTATTATTATTATTATTATTATTATTATTATTATTATATAAACCGAAGCAAGTGGAAGGTGACTGGACCGTCTTGTTTTCTTAAAGAGGTTTCACCTAGTTATTCCAGTATACCACTAGAGGGAGTTAAGTGTACCATAGTTAAAAAAATTGAAACTTAGGTCAGGTCACAGCTCAACTCGTTTAGTTTATATGTAAAGTTTAAGATAATATAGTTTATGATAATATAAGTTAAATTATTTTGTTTTATATATTCTCAGGTAAATCAATGAGAGAGAGAAAACTACAAACAAACGCATTTCTGAGTGCCATCAGTGTTTCTTTATTAAGAATGGTGAAAAAGAGTTTATTTTATACAATATTTTTCTGGTGCAGTTGTTTTTATACAGTTTGTGATAATATGAGTCTGAATCTGAATCAGATTTTTTTTTCAAACCACTACTTAAAGCAGTAAAGAAAATGCAAAATGAAAGTGGAGAGATGTTTAGAGATGAAATGAGAAAGAGGGAAACTTTATTTAAGTGCTCTGTGGTGCTGCAGTGGGCTGTGAACCAATGATGCTGTCGATCCACTCAGTGTAGCGGGAGACGATGGTGTAAATTCCGGGTTTCTTTAACTGCCCACACTTCTTCCCACCATTGGAAGTGACACCGACTACAACTCCCTGGTAGAGTAGAGGACCTCCAGAATCACCCTGAGGCACAAGACGTTCTCCGTGAATGAAAGCAGTGTATGGAGTGTGAATAAGCCCAGAGGCAGGGGGGAGGAGGGGTGGTTATACCCTCCTCCCCCTGGGTTTTTTTAAACACAAACACC